GATGAAAAAGAAAAACTGTTCTTTCAGAAACTCTATGACGATGCGTTGTAGAGAGAGAGAGGGAGGCAAAGGCAGTAAATCGAGCAACAAGTATTGCTGCCCAAGTGGCCCTACTGGCTGTTAGGGAGAAGTTAGGCGCTGCCGTAGCAGCCTTGGTCCAACTGCGAACCTTAGAAAATTTTGAGTCGCGCATGACAGCTCTAGAGCAGCGGAACCAAGAGCTGCAGGCTGAGATTGCAGGGCTCCAGCAGGCCCAACTGACCATTCCTCGCCCATCTAATCCTCACCCTGCTGTTGTCCCCATCTTTTCCCCTAACTCAGTCCTCATTCAGATACCAAGTGGAGCGGTGATGAGCGCAGGAACCGGTGCCAGCTCTTCAAACGGCAGCGCCGACAGTTCTTGCAATGTTCCAGTCCCAAATGCAGGTTCACCAGCCCAAAACACCGCAGTTCCTGTTGGCGTACAATACAACGGTCCCATAGTGGACAAAAGGGCGGCCACGCTGCTGTCCAAGTACGATGGGAAGACACATATTACCTCCTGGATCAGCTCTATGCACTCATACTTCGAGGTACTGCGAACACCGCAGGAAGACCGAAGTATGATCATGGGCAAAAATACCGAACCCGCCGTACGGAGTTTCATTGAACTCCAAGCTGTCAGTGCAGGTTACCAAAGAATTGACCTGACTTAGTGGTTGAAGGTGACTCTTGTTCACACTCTTGAGGACCTCCTCATGGCGCAGTACCAAGATAAGCACGCCGTGCTCAAAGCAAAACTGAAGCTTGAGGCCCTCAAGGGCCAAAAGTGGAGAACTTCCATGCAGGCTTTGGAACAGCTGAAGTCTCGTAACCACTACAACCCTTGGAGGTGTTATACAAACTGGATCCATACCGGTCGTGATATMCAGCCCACCTCCAGGGCTGTAGCGTCCTTGAACCCACACCACACACACAACACCACACCATGGACACGGCAATCAACACACTCCGCTCAGACAACACGCAGCCCCATCACCGCTACTTAACCTGGTCACTCCAAGGCGGACCAACTGCCCGCGGGTTCCACAGGCGCCTTCACAGTAGTTTACTAAGCAACGTGTGTTTTAGGGCATCAGGCCCCGCCGTGCACGCACGGCCTCGAACCGGCACTCTCAGCCTCAAGAACGAAGTCTCGTAACCACTACAACCCTTGGAGGTGACAGACCACTAAGTTCTCTGCAACACTCAGTCCTTATGGACATACCACAACTCTCTTTCTGATCTACGTTTACGATGCATTTTGCAGGGACTCGAAATGAGTTACTCGCTCAAAGGGACCTCGCTCTTGAGAGGGGGGTATTGCAATGACCTGCAAAATCACATACCAAGAACTGTGCTGATTTCTGAGTTTTTTCCGCGGAATTGTGTGTCTACTGAGGTTCCCGCTCTTTGCTGAGATTCCTAAGTCTGTGTGTGAGTGTGTTCGAAGGATCCCGGGTGTTTGTCGGGATGTGTGTGGAACGCCACGACACTTGTTTGTTTGAAAGGCCCAAGGGGGCCGGTACTTACCTATTTTGTTGTGCTGGCAGCAAGAGGGAACTTCGGATATTGATTCTGGCTTAACCATTTATTGTTATTATTATTATTTGGTGAAGAATAAGATTGGCGGAGACAAGGTGGAGGAGGAGAGTGGAGACAGAAGGGGGATTTGTCATTGGTCTTGCTGGTGTACATCTTCTTCTTCTTCTTCCTTTCGTCTTCTTTCTTCTTTTTCGGTCTCTATCTCTTTGCAAGTGCTTTCATTTCTTTTGCAATTGGGTGGCATTGTCTTTCCTTGTGAATTTGCACTTCGGAAGGAGCCAGGATTGTAACAAATGTGTTTCCGGATCTCACTGCGCTGTTCAACAGTGTGTGCACACTTAAGTGCATGCATCAGTGCATGCATTGAACACGAGGCTGAGCACCTGTCCAAAGGTGTGATTCCCTCTCCCCACTGTCTGTCCGTCCATCTGGCAGTCTGTCTGTCTGTCTCTTTGTGTGAGTGTCTATCTCTGCCGCATGCCTATCATCAGACAGGCATGGTGCACACCGAAGAATCGTCACAGTGGAGAGACACAACAAATACAAGGGAGCGGATGTCTGAAATCAACCAATCTGACTCAAAGTTGATAGGACTCGGACAACGCACTCATCATTCTCAATGAAGACAAGAAGAGCCAGCGCAACTCCGCCCATGTGAGGAAGGGGTATCAATGTAATTGAAGTTCGTGTGCACAAAATCTCCAATAGCGTCTGAATACTGCAACCAAAACATGGGGGCTGTGTGGGCGGGGACAAAAACAACAATGGTCGATTGTTTGAAAAACAAACATAGATGAATAAAGTACATGGAACCTTAATGAGAAAGAATGATGTTTCGGTCTTCAGGTCTTGGAGACGAGGAATTAACCCCCTCTTAAGCCCCAATAAAGACATAGCCCAAAACCCCCCACGCATAAAAATTTCGCAAATTGGCGACAAAGAACTAACCCAAATAAGGACTTAGTCCAAACATCACCACAAGCTAACGTCAATAAATAGAGAGAAGAATCGAGTGGAGTACAATATCAGTCCAGAGAAGAGTAGAGTAGAGGAGAGGAGAGGAGAAAGAGAGACTAGAATAGAGAATAGAGAACAGAGAATAGAGAATAGAGAATAGAGAGTAGAGAGTATAGAGTAGAGTAGAGAGTAGAGAGTAGGGAGTAGTGGAGAGTAGACTAGACAATAGAGAGGAGTGTAGAGTAGAGAGTAGACAGGAGGGAGTAGAGAGTATAGAGTAGAGTAGAGAGTATAGTAGAGAGTACTGCAGACTGATAGTAGAGAGTGTAGAGTAGAGTAGAGAGTAGTGCCGAGTAGAGTAGAGAGTAGACAATAGTGTAGAGTGACTAAGAGTAGAGAGTGGTGTAGAGTGGAGTAGAGAGTAGAGAGTAAAGTAGAGTGCGGAGTAGAGAGTCGAGGGTAGAGTAGAGAGTAGAGAATAGAGAGTAGAGTAGGGTCGACTAGAGAGTGCAGAGTACAGTAGAGACTAGAGAAGAGAGTAGAGAGTAGTATAGAGTTGAGTAGAGTAGAATCGAGTTCAGTACATCCTTCAATATACCTTCGGTAGAGAAGAGCGACTGGAGTACAGAGTTCAGAGAAGGGTAGAAAAGAGATTAGAGAGTAGAGAGTAGAGTAGAGTATATGTGCCTCATTGTCTGTCATGTCTGTAGATTGCGTGTTTGCATGATGGTTTGCGTGACATTGCAGCTGAGCATGCAAGGTTTAGTTTGGATCAATGATGTGTTTGCATGTTGGCTTCTTCAATATACCTTTAATAGAGAATAGCAAGCGGAGTACAAAGTTCAGAGAAGGGTATAGAAGAGATTAGAGATTAGATACTAGAGTAGAGTATATGTGCCTCATTGGTTGTCATGTCTGTAGATTGTGTTTCCATGATGGTTTGTGTAACATTGCACCTGAGCACGCAAGGTTCAGTTCGGGTCAATGAATGTTCTTGCATGTTGGCTTGTGTAACATGGCGCCTGAGCACCCGGAGTCAGTTTGGGTCAATGAATATGTCATAAAATACAAAAAATCCTGGGCACTTCACAGCCTGCCAGGGTCACCCGGCCAAACCCTGGGCCTGCTGCTGGCCCGGCCTGGCCGGGCGACTTTTAAGCCCATGAATGAAAATCATTTATTAGACTATGGAGAGTAGTATGGATACCTTGACAAGGACAATATATGAAGTTTCAAAGTTGGTTGACTGTTTGACAAGTGGACGAAGTGAAATTAGGTCCTGAGTTTCCGACAGCGCCAACAGGAACTGCCAAAGCAGGTGCGCAAAGGACAGAACATGCTAGAACTTTCAGCAGGGGCAGAAAAAGAATACATCAATGCGGGACACCAGGGTTCACTCTGCGATGAAGGTGGTCGATGTGGGGTGTTTCTCCTCTTCAGGGTGATTTCGTTATCGGCTGAAGCACGAAAAACTACTGTGAATTGAAGATGGTCTGAAAATTGCCAGCCAACCTAGACCATCGGTTGATTTGCAATCAACGACTGTGAATATACAGCACCCAAACACACAACTGATTGAAGAATGCTGTTGCATGCACTCCTTCAACTGAGAACTCTACGTGCAAGCTGGGAGTTATGGTGCCGATATCACATAACTGTGACTCATCTATCCCAGGAACTTGCCCCAAACAGCAAGACCCGATACTGCTCTGGCTGCAAAAGTCAGTCCGTGGAGACCTGCACACGGATATATGGTGGCTACCTTGCCAAACTAATTCCTCGTCAACACTGTGCAGAATTATGAAGTGGAATCTAAGCAAACAGACCAACACTAACAGCAAACGTGCAAGGTGGACTCCAAGATATTGGGCTCGGGACATCAAAAGATGTGTACGGTAAGCCTTGCTGCCACAGTTTCATCTCCCTCCCTCCTTTCTGTGGCTACAACGAATATGATCTCACAGACTTAAGCCTACGCTGCAAGACAACTGGCTAAAATACAGGCTCATCCATGCCCAGGTCCGAACTGTGCGCACACACGTTCCAGAAGACTGACACCACATGAGCCCCAGTTAAACAGAAAAATAGTTGCAAAAGCGCACAGTAAGCATGGAATACATGGAATGGATGAGTAGCCTACTAGCCACCCTCTGAAACAAACGGTCACAGATTTCTCCTGTGAAATTCCCACTAACGCGAACTACGCACACATGGCAGTCATCATATGGTACAACATTCACAAGGCCTTTGCGAAACTCTCCTACAAATCACTCTAATTTTTTGAAATCACATAGAACAAAACCATGAAAAAAACACTGCTACAGATCCCTCTGAAGATACAGAAAATGATACCATTCAACAAAAAACACTCTCCTACATATCGGTATGAAATTCCAGAGAATGCGACCATCTGACAGTCCCAATGACAGGCTCCTCAGAGGGTTCGGGTGGGAAGAGAACTCGTGGTGTAGTCTCATCACCTTGTTGAAGCAGGCTGGTTGTTGCATCTGACATCGGTGGGAAAGGGCTGCCAAAGTTTGTCATATCTGCCGACTCGATTGCTTGAATGGATGGTACATCTCTTGCACTGATCATCCTGTCACTTGCCGGGGACTTCACCTCCACTGATGCCTGGTTCCTCTCACCAAGTGCAATCCTCTGCACGTCTGCCATTGACTGGGACATTGATAGCAGAGCGTCATGGTATCGGACGCTAGAGGCTAGAGCAGCTGGAATGGGCCGAAGCAGATCCTGTGAATGAAGATCGAAGCATGAAAGGACATTCAGCACTTGAACAACAGCAGGATGCATGCATGAGTGAATGCGATATTGATAGCAAAGCATGACTGCAACATTGCTCTAACATGCATTAACAGTAAGGGAAACTGGGTCTTTGAGCTGAGTAAATGGGATGGGTGAGGGACATGAGACATATAGAGGGGCAGACAGACAGACTGACAAACAAATAGACTGACAGACGGATAGACTGCACGTTTTAGATTTGCACCACAACAGCCCTGTTCCACCCAGAAGAGTAGATCCAAAGTCGATGCAGCTTTACCTCTATTGCAGACAATGAAGCACACTTGGGATGAGCCATTCCAACAATGAAACAGTTTTTTACCTCTATAGCAAGCAACATGGAGCACAAAAGATCTGTTATAACTTATATCCCTTTCTTGACTATAGCACCATGGAGCACAAAAGATCCGTTATAACTTATATCCCTTTCTTGACTATCTTTACTTTGGCTTTCTTTGGGGCACCCCTTCTATTTGTTCTTGCAGCTCCCTTTTTACTGTGCCTCTCGTGTACGAGGCTGGCCACGTTGACTGTGGTTAGCGCCAGCTGCCCATATCCCTGTGTGCCCGAACGACCCACTTGCACGGTACACTCCTGTTCGTTTTTCTTCAGATCTTCAGCTTATATTATGTCTGTTCTCTTAATGACGCTCATTCGTATGCATTTGCTGGTAGTGTACAAGAGGAAAGGGGAAGGAAAGGGCTAGGGATTGGAGTTCTGTAGAAAGCGAGGGGCGGGGTAGGGAGAAGGGGTAGAGCAGGGAAGTGGCGGGGCAAAGAACAGAACAGAGGAAAGTCAAACTTCACAGGGTTCTCATTACTCACCACTGGAGCAGACTACTCTAAAATAGCACAAGAGGCCAGTAACTGTTTGGGTTGCAGGAGATTTTGAGTTGAGGAGCTGTCGTTGCCTATGGGAAGTGGTCACCCCTGCAGATCGGACAGGACCGGTTCGGGTGTGTGTTTGTGTTTTAGAGCCCCTGTTCCACCCAGATGAGTCGATCTAAAATCGATGCAGCTTTACCTCTCTCGCTGACAATGAACCACACTTGAGACGAGTCATTCCAACAATGAAACAGTTTTACCTCTATAGCAAGCAACATGGAGCAGAAGAGATCCGTTATATCCCTTTTGTTTTGACTTTGTTTACTTTGGCTTTCTTTGGGGTACCCATATGCCTCACGCTACCTAAGCCCCTATCTAAGTCCAGTTTTTGAGTCACTGAATGTTGCAGCCATGGAGTGCCCTAAGCGCTTTGGGTAGACACTGACCTCCCCCGTGCCTAAGCACCGCTGTGAATCCTAACACCTGGCGCGAGCTACAAGGCGGATTCAAGACACCTCGTAACCAACCAGGAGAGAAAGCCAACTATCTCAGCTGGTGAACCCGAAGCATGCCACAGGGGCGCACGGAGATCGAGTGAACAACATGTGAATCGAACCCACGACCTCCTGAATGCCACTTACGTGCTCTACCAACTAAGCTAGGCCGCTGGGGTACCCCTTCTTTTTTTCTTTTTTTTAAACAGGCCCTTACGGTCCTGGCTCCTTTCCATTCTGGGGAGCATCAGTCCGGTTCCTATTCCACCGGCAAGTCAGAATAAAAGATTACATCATAATCACCCATACTTCCTTCCGTTCGGCCGAAGGACCCTCGACCAGCATTGATTGCTCCAAAAAAATTGGAGGATTAACTGTCAGCTTGCCATTCGTCATCCTTTCCTCTCAGGTGTTCCTGCAAAACCTGCCATATATGGCATGACTGAACAAGAAAAATGTAAAAACTGCCATTACTACCAATTTCCTTAAACCCTAAACCCTAGACCCTCGAGAAACTAAACAGGTGCCCATTTTGCCTATGCCATACGATTCCTCATGGGATCTTCCAAACAAATCTGCTGTTCCAAACCATGTTTGTCCTAAATTTGCCCAAACCCTTAACCCTAGACCCTCAATTATAGGTTTTATTTTGCATAAACATTACATCATCTAGCTTCAACTTTCTCACCCACCCTCCTATCCCTATGGTAATTGCATTTCCTGTGTCTCCCCCTGGACCCCCAAAGACGCCTCACCTCTCTCCTCCTTGAACCAATGAAAGGTCAGTCTCTGTCCCTCTATGGTCGCGACTTTGCCCCTGGCCAATACCTTCTTCTGGAATTTCGTGTAAATAGTCTTCGCGTTTTCCGGGTTAACCGATGCTCATATTCTCGTTCTCTGCCATTGAGCCATAATATCTGTTTCCAATAGATTATATAGTGTTGTTCTGGCTTCCATTCTAGTCATCAAATTTTTGCCATTCACCAGTTGACATCTCCTTTTCCAGATAGTCCATAATGTATACTGTCTCAATAGCTGAAAAATGAATTTTTCACTTTCCTTCCATTTCTTAGGTACTACCCTTCCTATGAGCAACAGTCTTGTGTTCCTTGGAAAGAGATCCTCCGTAATACGTTCCCAAAGTGTACCAGCCATTTCCCATATGTATTCTGCTTCCGGGCATCGAAGCAAGCAATGCATCAGCGTTTCAGGCGCTTTCCGAGAGCACATGGTGCAGTCTTGGTCTGTTTCTTCCTTATGCTGTCTACTCCTTTTTTCATATAACCAGATGTTGACCGGGAGTGCCACATGGAATATAAGCCACTGCATACTCCGGACTTTGCCCAATCTGATAGCATGAAGGCTTGACCATGGTATTTTGCCCACATGTTGTCTTGGTATGCCCACCCTTTTTTCCCATCTTCTCGCCAAAGGCCTATCCATTTGGTACGACCTTCTCCTGAGCCTATACCCCAATTTAGTCGTATACTATAGTATGTTAATTTTATTGACTAATCGTGATGCACTTCCCCTGATGTTCCATGCCCATTCTACTGGATCCACCTCCAGATTCTGAATGCTGATTGTTGGGGCATATATTGTGAATTCGTCATTCTCTATAACCCTAACCTTCCTCAAGAGATCCTTCTTGATGGTGATCGACACTTTGGATCCTTGTCCAAACGACTCACTGTGGTGCCTGGGGTCAGTATTGTATACATATCCGCTTCCAACCACTGTTTAGCTGGTCCTACTTCTTGACCGATGCGAAAGGCTTGCTGAGGTTCGGCACTATGGCACCAAGTTGCCCAATCACCCCTTCCCCATTTGTATGGACCCCTCAATATCCTCGTCCACTCCTCCGGAATGGAGATTAACATGTCGTTCAGGTTTTCAATTAGTCTATGACACCTCTTCATTTCCTCCCTCGATTCTCTACCCGTTTTCCATCTTCCATTAGTATCTGACCATAGATGTTTCACTTGCCATACTCCATGCTCCAACCAATTTCCCCACTTAGCATCTCTTACTGTGAGTGTTCTTGGTTTTCCTTGCAAATCCTTCAACCATGGATTACAAAATAGTTGTTGCCTAAGTACTTCCTCCTTCGTTCTTGGTTGTCTTACTCTTGCAGGAAAGATTTATGTCCATATCTTAAGAATTTGTGCCCAATACGAACTCCTAATCATCCCATCTTCCCCCCCCTGCATTCCTTCTCTTCCCCTATTGGCCCATCCTTTACAAAAAGTCCAAAACAGTCCTTCCATATTAGGTGGAGTTTTATACTTCGCCATCTCCCGTATATGGTCTAATACCAACGGAACCCAGCAAAGATGGGGTTGTGTCAATAATTTGATAACCCATTTAGTTTGGAGTGCTTTGATCTGTTGTCCCGGGTCGAGAATGCCCAATCCCCCCCGATCCTTTGTCTGAATAGCCTGTTTCCATGCTACCTTAGAAATATAATTCGTCTTAGTAGGGTTCGTTGTCTAGAGATAAGTTGTCGCCTCCCTCCTAAGCTTGTTCAGTGATTGAATGGGTGTCCATATTGTTCCGACATACCATAACATGGAGAAGATAGAAGCATTTAATACTAATGCTCTCCCAAATAGTGACGTATACGTTTCTGACCATACTGACATCTTAGCTAACATTTTGGTCATCTGCTCTTGTGCCATCGAGTGGCGAGGACCCGTATCTGCTAGCCTAATCCCCAAATATCACAGTGGTTGATCCGATGACACCCATGCCATTCCTTCATAATTCGGTAGATGAGCTTGAATTTGATGATCTACATCTGATAACCACCACCCCACCGTTTTAGGCCAATTAATTTTCATTTCCGATGCCAGCTGAAAAGCCTCCATCGCTCTCGTGAGGGCTTGGAAAGAGGAGTCTGTAGCCCTAATTAGGACTGTCAAATCATCCGCAAATAGTATTGTTGTAGGCAGACGTATGACACGACCCTGTTGATCCGGTTCCATTATCAGACGATCTATCGATGGGTCTTTCCTGAGAAACGAAGCAATGGCCTCCATTATAAACAGGAAAATAGGGGCCGCCAGCGGGTCCCCTTGTCTGACCGATCTACTCATTTTATATCTTCCTGATAAATGACCATTGACTTGTACCTGACCATGTGCGTCATTGTACAACACCCGTATCCATTTGCGGAAGTTCGGCCCCACTCCCATCTTTTCCATGCATTGTTGCAGAAAATTCCAATTAACCTGATCGTATGCCTTCTCAAAATAAAAAAAGAGAATTGCTGCGTTGATCCTCTTGTCTGTAATATATCTGACCGATTCCGATAAGGTCATTACATTATCCAATATAAATCTTCCCGGAATAAAGCCTGTTTGATCTAGATGAAAAACTATGTCTGTAACCCTTCTCAATCGATTAGCCAAGGCTTTGGCTACTATCTTATGGGTAAGAGTTAGAAGTGTAATCCGTTTATAGTTTCTGATATCCTTGGGGTCACCCTTTTTATATTGAAGAGTGACAACTCCTGTGGCCAATTCCACCCCAAGACCGTCTTTTTGCCAAGCGTGATTAAGAAAGGCTTCGTATTCCCCTTCCAAGATGGACCAAAACTCCAGCCAGAATTCTTTTGTAAGTCCATCCCTGC